CGTGCGAGCGCTGCTGTTTGCGCATGCACACCCCCCAGACAAGTGCTGTCATTTGCGTGTGCGCATGCCTGCCTGTGTGAGCGCTGAACCGCCAATTTGAGCATGCTCATGTGCATGCAGAAAGTCATGCGGCACTTGCACAGATGCACGCTTGCTCGTGCGAGAGAGCACACATGCTTGTTCATGCATGCGCACAAGCGCGGGGGTGCCCTGCCTTCCCCAGCCGGTCCGCAGACCGAAAAAGGTTGGGGACTACTGCGATTTGGTTCTTTGGTACAGTACATTATTCCTATATTCTTATTTTGTCTTGATTAGATAATAAAGTCTCCTGTTGATCTTTTGGTATCCCTGATATTGGTTTAACTTTCTTTTCTTGGATTTTACAGAAGGCATCTCTTGCTTCCTTACATAAAAACTTTTACCTTCTTCGGTAACCATAGAACAAACTTAAATGATGGTTGCTGACGCTGTCCAAGGAGTTTGGTTTCCTTTGTTTCATAGACTCTAACTGTTTGTGCTAAAGTTCAGCTCACTATTAGATTTGTTCTTTTGAGTTTATAATTTCTATTTTGTAATTAGCCAGCTGAACATTTCCTATCCCATCCCAATCCACTTTGCTCAGAGGTACTGCTATGTTTAAACATTTATTTAGGGTTTCCTGCTTGTTCTGGATTGCTCAGTGGTTTAGGTCTCTCGCTGCGTAGCCAGAGGTTAGGAGTTCAGTTTCCCACTGTGCCTCCTTGACAAGGGATGGACTCAAATGATTTACTGGACCCCATCCAGTGCTGCAGTTCTAAGATAATGACATTCCATGTCCTGATTATACATGTTGTGCAGCAACAGACTTTCTTTTTGTCTTTGTGAACATTGACAATTAGAAATCATTTTGGGTTTAATCTAGTTGCTTCATTAGCAATAGCGCAATTCATATTTACCCTTTGCTCCTCCCTAGTAGCTGACTGAGTGCCTTCTGATTTGGGAGTTTTGTTTCCCAGCATTACCTGTTTGTTCTGGAATGTCTCCTCATAGGTTTTTCAAGGTCTAAAACATTTAGAAGGGGTTACCATGGCCTTGTTCTGCACAGCACTAACAAGAGTTAGCTTGAGTGTCCATGCAGCTGTTTATGAAAGATCATCCATCAGCCTCACCTTCTACTATTGCTGCTGCCCAGCAGTTGCCCTTCAAGAAATTTTCAACCCTAATCACCATTAGAACTACCAATATTCCTTGGCTCGTATAACAATTGCTTCTTGAAGAGGATGTGGCCGTAGTGCATGTAATCCTCATGCACCAGGATTAAATAAAAACAGCTTCCATTGAGTAAACCTCACACTGCACAGATACTCTGAGGTTTTGAAGAATAATGTCTGAATTGAGACATCAAGTTTATTGCCTTTTATGGGCCTTTTTACTCCAAGAAAACCTAGGTGTCATTCTGGTGAAATTGAATACCTGATGTTTAGACTGTTTGCAACTTCTTCCTTATATATTTAATGATCCAAATAAGGTTTCAGCACTTATCTTTTGGTACAAATATGACTGTAGCTGCAAACTAAACTGCTTTCCATTTCAGCTCAATGTGGCACAGGACAGATGAAAAGGGTTGCCATGAAACAATTGCACACAGTTACGAACACTATAAAGAACTTAAAAGCGTTTGGGATGCATGATTACCGTATATAACTGTGCAACAAATACAGAAATCATCGAGAAATCTGGAGTGATTATTCCCTTTATACTATTTACATATTACTTTATTGTTGGGTAATAAATTAGAATTGTGTAAGTGCAGTAGCAGACACAAATCATTACAGAAGACAACAAAAATAAAAAGTGTATAATTAGTGATGCAAATATTTTCAGCAGAATGTGAACTGTATACACCTGTAAATTAATTTGCCACAATACTATGTGTCAAAACAGAATCATGGCAAGATCCCACAACTAAGACAGAAATGTTTATTTATATGACATTGTAAGTTCTAGACCAGTGGTCCCCAACTTTTTCAGTCCACAGAAGGGCTGGGGAAGGCGGGGCAGCCTCCTGCTCACGTGCATGCACAAATGGTGGCGCAGTGAGCATAGACTCACACGCACGCGCAAATGGTGGCACGGTGCTTGTCTGGGCATGCACACATTCATGCACATGCTCAAACAGCAGTGCTGGAGCGCGCCGCAGCCACCAACAGGCTGTGCGGGTGTGAGTGTGTGCAAGGGGGCGGGAGGTCTGTATCGGGGGCCCAGTCCAGCTCAGGTCACGGACTGACATGAGGCTGTGGATGGAGGGTTGGGGGCCTCTGTTCTAGACCACTTTATCTTCAGAGAAGCCTCCTTACTAAGATGTATTCAAGTGTGGGGGTAGGAGTGTATAGACAGAACCTAACACACTGTTCCAAGTGTATCAAATCCATCTTTCTGACACTTCAAAGTTTAGCACAAAGCAGTTGACTGGAGTTAGTAGTAAGGCCAAAGAGAAAATTAAAAACTAACTGCAAAAATTTACTTTATGATGATTCATTCTCTGTTGATTAATCACAGCAAATCTAATGTAGTGATGCATGCTTAAAAACTCTAGAGTGACGGCTTTACAGATAGATCTCATCTTTAAGCACCAGCATCCAGTCATAGGTATACATACATAATATTTACTTTTTCCCTGTAATGTCAGTACCATCATAAAAATGAAAACAAAATACAGTGGTGCCCTGCATGGCGTCGTTAAGCCGTTCCGGATTAATCGTCGCTATCCGGAAACATCGCAATGCGGGAGGGAAAACCCCATAGAAACGCATAAAACTTTGTTTAATGCGTTCCTATGGGGCGAAAACTCACCGTTATGCGAACATCCTCCGTAGCGCCGCCATTTTCGCCGCCTCGGTAAGCGAGGGCAGCACGCGAAAATGGTTGCGGCAGCCATTTGGGAACCGCTGATCAGCTGTGTGAAAATGGGGCCTTTGGGAGGACCGCGGGGGAGGGCTCCCCCGCCGCCGTTCCGAAGCGCTTTGGCCAGCTGTGTGAAAATGGGGCCTTTGGGAGGACCGCGGGGGAGGGCTCCCCCGCCGCCGTTCCGAAGCGCTTTGGCCAGCTGTGTGAAAATGGGGCCTTTGGGAGGACCGCGGGGGAGGGCTCCCCCGCCGCCGTTCCGAAGCGCTAGCGGGGGAACCCTCCCCCACGGCCGCTCCGAAGCACCCACTTTTGCGATCGCAAAAACGAATCCCTATGCGGATTTGTCGTTAAACGGGGCACTCGTTATGCGAGGCACCACTGTACAGGCCATCTTTTGTATAACCATCTCAGAATACTTTACACTGAAAATCGCATGTATATTTATTTGCAGTATGAACGACAAAACTGGATTTTATTCATAGCTAAGGAAAGATGGCTGATGGTTGGATTCCAAAAGATCTCCTGTATGGAGAATTAGTGCAGGGAAATTGCCCCAGAGGGAGACCACAGCTGTGATACAAGGATATCTGCAAGAGGGATCTGAAGGCCTTAGGAATGGACCTCAACAGATGGGAAACCCTGACATCTGAGCATTCAGCCTGGAGGCAGGCGGGGCAGCATGGCTTCTCCCAACTTGAAGAGACCCTTGTCCAGCAGGCCGAAGCGAAGAGGTAATCCCAAAACCAGCAAAATCAGGGAGCTAGACAGGGGGCAGACTGTATTTGTCTTCAGTGTGGAAGGGATTGTCACTCTCGAGTTGGCCTCTTCAGGCACACTAAACGCTGTTCCAAGTCCTCCATTCAGAGCACGTTACCATAGTCTCTCGAGACTGAAGGATGCCTAAAATCTAAGGAAAGATGCTCAGGACTGTGTTGAAAAAATACATTGCCTTGTACACTATAAGAACCATTGATTGCCAAACTCATCAAAATGAAACTATGTACCACAATCTCGCCTAGTCTCTGGGGGTTCAGGGGTGCACTACTACAATATGCCTGAGGAACTAATCCAAATTACATCAGGGGACCCGCATATGATTAAAAACAACAAACAAACACACACACACACAAAACCCTGGCATGAACTCTGCCAGAATGCACACACACACACACACACACAAAACGCTGGCATGAACTCTGCCAGAACACTGACTTGCAGAACTGTAACACATCATATAGTAGACTGTTCCCATTTCTCCATTTATACAGTACTAAAATACTTCTCAACCTACAACTCAATGCACACCATTTTAGATTCCAAAAATGGTGAACAGAAAACAGCAAGAGGCAATATTTTATTTCTACTGTGGAACTCCAGCAGTGAAATAGTCCTGGCCTAATGCTGAACACGTGTAGTTTCAGGCAATAGGTCTGAAGACTTCGTTTCCCTCTCCAGTGACTTACTACTAGGAGATGTGTGCTGTTCAGCAATTCGTCGCGGGATAGTTTTGCAGAACTACAAGCAAGTGCAAAGCCAGGATGGGGAGAGAGAGAAGGCACGAAGAAAAAACAGAAGGCGGACACATACTAATTATTAGAATTGGGTGCTGAGATCCGAATGGGGGCTCCTTGGACGCGTGCCTCCCCAGCGCCCACCTGAACGCCCGCTCCTTCCTTCCTTCCTTCCTTCCTCTCAGCCCAGTTGCAACCTTGTTCTGTGGCACCAAGGATCAAGAAAGCCTCCCTAGGAGGCCACCCCGAGTTGCCCCACACGCCCCTCTACCCGCAACATGTAG